GAAGTAGACCTGCTATGGCGCTCCTTTACTTTTTTTTTTTTTTTTTAAATGACAGGCGATCTTTAATGGGAAATCATCCATTGCACAGTCAGAGTAGATTTTATTAGGGTTTCTTTTTTTCTGGTGCTCTACCTCAGCGTTTCTCAACCTTTTGCAATGACAGCCCCCTTCAAAAGTATGCCAAATCTTGAGGCACCCCAGTCTAAAATGTAATTGATTTTGCATGCAAAATGTGGGGTTCCCCAGTTCATCTCAAACTCCTCCCTTCAGATCAGGACCTTCCCTTCACATCAGAAGCTCTCTTTACATTCGAGTCCCCTCTTTATATCAGAATTCCCGCTCACATTAGAGTTCAGTCCAAATAGTGGAACATGTCACAGCACCCTGGTTGACAAAGGCTGATCTACCTAAAGGGAAACTGCCAGGATGGAAATATGGAATCCACCACTGCCAAGTTATTTTTGGAGAGGTATGATCCAGAGCGGTCATGTCTATCCTTCCTTCTACAAATGCTTGCTGGCTCTAGGTCAGAAAAATATCAGTGATAAAAGGATGAAGAAGACCGCAACAGAGCAAGCACTTTAAACAAGTCAGCAATTGGAAGCCTTCATATTTCTATCCTGAAGGGTTCCTTAAAATAAACAGGCCCTGACTGGACCATGCCGCAAGACTGGAAGATTGTTGCAGACTGGTTCATCCTTGTCAATTTTGCATGAATTCAAACTGAATTTTTAATGTAACAGAGCAGCGGGGATAATCGCCATGTAAAAGGTAGAGCGCTGAACACATGATTGTGAAGCCAAGAGCTACTCGGGGTCATTCCAGGACAGCAGGCAGATTGTTTTCTTGGAAAACTGGTCTGCTCGGTGTTATACTGAAGAAAATCTGCTGATTTAAAATGACCACTAAAACTAAAATGCAGTGTGCTTCATACACAAGAACTACAATTAACATTTACAACTGGAGCAGTAATCGTCTCAGGAGCTATTATTGTAAATGGTGAATTTACTGTTCGTCTGTGACCTGCAAGTCCAAAGAGCACAACAGGAGAATACCTGGGACTCCCGACTCTCACACCTGTGTGAATGTTTGATCTCAACAAATTTACCTCCATTAATACAATGCACATCTAGGAATATTTTGTGTGCATGATCTTGTTTTAAGCAGGTAAAATCCAAATTGAGAAACACATTCTAGGATTGAGAATTTCCAACATGCACATGGATCGTGTGTTTTTGCAAGTTTACCATGAAGACTTCACATCAAGGCATTTGGAATTTGCATGCATTTTATGTGCACAAAAACATGCATTTAAACACATAATTTTACATTTGGTTTTGTGTGTTTGTGGCTACAATACAATATGCTGGGGACAAAACATGTTGACATCCACCACAAAAATCATGCATGTACTTTTTCCTGCATTGCACTAGGGCTGCAACAACTAATCAACTAAGTTGATTATAATCAATGATGGAAAAAGTTGTCCGATAGTTGTCAAAGTTTTGAATCATCAATTAATCGGCTTTCAATTAGTTGGCCCTGTTCACAGCTGCACACACCATGCGCCGTCCCCTGCCCCTCCTCACACACGCCGCTGCCAGACGTGCCTGCATGCATACACTACACCACCTCCCCGCCTCACGCTCGCCACTGCTAGACCCGCCCTACCACCCGTGCAAGTTGCTGGAAGACTGCTCAGGTAAGCCTGCACTTACCTGAGCAGTCCCCCCCGATAGCTGATGGTACATTGCTCTGTATAATATAGAGCACAATGTACCATCAGCTAGAAAATTACAAACCCCAGCAATACATTATACACCAAGTATAACGTATTACTGGGATTTGTTGTATTCCTATATAACTGGTGGTATTCTACATTGCGCTGTACAGAGGACTACAAATCCCAGCAATACATTATACAGCACAATGCAGAACACCACCAGTTATAATGTAGTGGGATTTGTAGTCTTTTAGAGCCAGTGCCATTCTGCACTGATCGCTTTGGGTTTTTTTTATTTTTCATTTTTTTACTTCCACCGCTCCAAGCTTTCTCCTGTGATGGACTACAATCTCAATACAAATTAGTAGTCCATCACTGGAGCCATTTTTTTTTATCCGTTTAACCGAACTCAAAAAAATGGCCAACTAATTGATTTTGAAAATAGTTAGCTGCAGCTCTACATTGCACATTTTGCACACACGCAAATGTGAACGAGACATAGGAACGCATTGTTTTGCCCAATCTTGCTTGCATCTGTGCACGTGTAAAAACACCCTTATCCAAAAGGTAATTGGATAAAGTAAACCGGCAAAGGTTTTTACACCATCCAAAATTCACACAGTATATAGCCAGCTTTATACTACACTAGGCTGTTAATAGATGATCCATGATTGGCTGTTAATAGATCTATGACTGTTAGCACATATCTGCTCACCCTAGGAGCATGTAGCATTGGTAACACACACTATAGTATTAATCAATGGTGCAATTCACATGGTTAGCTTCTTCATCTACCATGATAGCTGCAATATACAAAGCAGTATGTGCATTCTTGGTCAGTTTATTTAGTAGGAAATGCATGTAAATGGATGATAAACTTCTGTAACCAAGTAAAAGCATAAAATCTGTAGTAGAAAAAAAATACATAAAACCTGAGTTACAATAGAAAACTTCTTTCAACCTACATGCTGCATAAAACTGCAGATAAATGTTGCTCATGTAAAAGGTAGGCTCACACTATAATTAAACAAGTGGAAAATCTAGAAAAAAATAAAATAAGCCCACGTATGTAGGTTTAGTAACAATATACAGAAATTTAAAAAAAAAACAAAAAAAAAAACATTCCGAAGCTTGTCAGAACAGACGTTCTTATTTTGGGGCATTGTGTAAGGACAATAAAACAGACTTCCATTGGACCAGTTTTCACCAAACATAGCCATTCTCCCCTCTGCCTGTTCCATTGCTGCGAGTTTACTACCTTCAAAATCAATGATCTGCAACAAGCATGCAGCCAGGTAAGTCAGAGCCCCTGATCTGCAAACATGTTGCGGGTTAATTACTCCCAAAGCCACTGAAGCAAGGAAATCAGTATTACAAATGGTTGCCAAAAATGGTGGCCAGCATACTTTCTTTCAATGACCGGTTTCCTATGGGACAGGAAAAAGCAGTTTTACTTATCTGATCCCAGCTCACCCAAAGTCAGCGCTCTCCTCTCCAGATGTGGACCGGTTTTGACATCCTTACATACAACGCTGGGCTACTGAGCCTGCTTTGTACCGGATGTCAGTGATCCTTAAAGTGAAGGGGAGAGGAGAGGAGGCTAAGGGGGGCCAAAATGGGGGGGGGGGGG